TGAAAATTTTACTAAAAGATATGCCCATATTTAGTACCCTAACTGTGTCTCAAACAAGATTATCTCAATTAAAAAAGATGCAAGGATAATGAAAATGAAGAAAGCATCTTACTCCAAGCGCAAATAATTTTGTGCGCTTTTTTTAGGGGAAAAAAATCAATCCTAATTAATCCTTCAAGGGCATTGGTAATGTCGAGCAAGAGAGATTTTTTCCAGCTTTCTTCTTAGAGAAATTTTTTAAAAAACATTAAATAATATATATTATTTAAACCTCTCTTAAAACTTAATTAATTAGTAGTAATCATTTTGATCATCACTGTTTAAAAATTCATTCTTAATTATCATTTTTTGTATCTTAATCATTTTGGTGGAAAAAAGTCCTCACTAAAAACCTTAACTCGTGACTTTTGTAGTTATTTTTTTTTTTCGTAGTGACACTGATTGCTTTCAAGAGTAATTTTCTGATAAGGACCCTTACAATAAATTGATTAATTGGTCCGACTCTTCTTTCATTTGATAGCAATATCTACTGAGGCTATGCAATTGTAGAAATCGTGTAAAAATTTTACAGCTCATTGATATTACACAAAAAAAAAAATCTCATAATCTCAATTTTTTTATTTTTACGAAATAATTTTGTTTGAAATTTTGGCATGCATAGAGTTAAAACCAATGGCTAAAATTGCTCCATGTATGTTAGCCTTAGGCATGATTCCCACCTCAGATCAAATTCTCGTAACTGTCATTTTCTCTTTTCACAGAAAATGACAGTTACAGCCCAGTAATAGTATTTAATACAATTAGAGACCTCAACTTTGCATATTACATCCCTTCAGAATTAATGGTTAAATTTAATAGTTTATAGGCCGAACAAGTGAAGACTTGCTTGAAAATGAATATATTTTTCTTTCTTACATAAAAAGAAATATTTACATCATATAAGTTCAACTTTATACATATACAATTACAGTGTGATATATAAATATTTCTCCTCATATATAAAAAGATAAAGAAATATGCAATATATCAAATGAAATTGTAGAAGTAGTTCACATAAAGTAGCTCCAACCACTTTTTTATTTATATATTAGTGATAGACTATACCAAGGACGAACAGGAGCCACAAAAGAAACATCTTATAAAGGGCATTTTGGTCCAATGTATTGACTTAAGGGTCAAATAGCAATTGTGTGATTGAAAATGAAATTCTAAAAGTTGGAGAGAGGTTTGTGTTTTGTCATTATTAATTTTATAGGAGGTTTGCATAATTTATAAAAATAAAAGTGAGGTATTTGTAATAAAGATAAAATAGAAAGAAGGTTGGTGTATTTGACTTTTTTTAATAACGAAAAATATTGATAGTCTATAATCGAGAAAATTTCCTAGACATCTCCCACTCATTGATGTAGCCCTAGAAAGAGGAATTTCATCTTATCTTCCTATACTCATGATCGAACTTAAGTCAACTTGAATATCTTTAGAGTAGAGAATAGGGCACAATAATTCCAGTCTTACTTGAGAAATACCTTTGTAATTTCTTGTTTATTTTATTCTTTGAATTCTCTTTCTCTTAATTTTTAATTCCTTTTTTCTACCTTTTTGTAGAAACTGTAGAATGAGAAATAAAGTAAGGAGTATTTTGAGAAACAGACACAACATTGGGAATTTTGTTTTTGGCCAACTAATATATACAGTAGATTCTACTCAGTACGGGAATTTATAAAATATTTTCAAAATGCTTCATTAAAAAAATTTAAAATTCATTTGCTTTCTTCAAAGATTTAATAAATTTTTAATTTTGTCATAATCATAGGAACATCTAATAAATTTTAAATCTTACTTCTATCAAATATACATGTTTTAATAATATAATAATGCACACCAATATTTAAATATATTCTTTTATAAAAAATCCAAATATCTTATAATTAAAATAATCAAAATTCTCTCTCTCTGCCCCCTGGTCTACCTTATAAATGAGATTAGAATGAGTATATTAGAAATTGAATGTTCGCTAAATTATTTTTGCCAAATTCAAATATTTAAAATATGATTTTATAAATGGAGTAAAATAAGTGACATTTTTTGACCCATAAATATTTTGGATATTTATGATATGAAAATTTTTATTTTGACCTAGGTTGTACATCATAGCATAATTGTGTAAATTTTATTTTGATCTTGGTTATTTAGTAGCCTGTTGAAATATTTTCTTGTAAGAATAGTTTTGGTTTGAGAATCAAGTTTCTAACCCATTGCATAATTAAAATCACTTTCTAACCCATAGAAGAAGGAAATTTGATAACAAGAAGAAATCAATGCCCATATAGTATGCCAATTTCATTGCCTAAGAAAGTATGGAGCCATATATTTCGAATAAAAGCTTCCCATTCAAAATATTGATAAATTTTAGGGAGAATGACAGAGAGGTATCAAAATAATCAATTAATTTAACTTAGATCTCAAGTGCCAAATTTCAAGGATTAGCAAGTTCAACTTTCAATTTTGCAACTTCATTGTGATAAATTTATAACTTGTTTTCCAAATTTTTAACATAGTTGAAGAATAAACAAATTTATTTTTCCTGTTAAAATTTGTTCATAAAGAATTAAGAAATTACCATTTTTCATAAACAAATTACTTATTCTATGAAAAAATGGCACAATTAATGAGATTATTTGTTTTGAAAAAAGAGAAAAATTGACCTGTCTTCTTTTAAAAATTTGTTCATTGTTGACAGGGTTAAAAATAAAAAAGAATCTCATCACTTTCCCTCACATCATATGCTCATAGTTCGCTTATAGATTACAATAGTTAACAATTAGAGCAAGATAATGAGTCATCAAATGTTTTTTCAAGTTAAAGTGTAAAATTGGAAGATTATATTATCTTTTTGTCCGTCACCTTATAATCAAGATCACTTTTTATTTTTGTAAAACACATATAAATAAGACAAGGGTAGTATATTTTAAAGAACTTATGTTTATGATTATATTTTATCATTATTGGAGAAAAAATATTAGTTCACATATATCAATTAATAAAAATAAAATGAAAATGAATACTAATGTATTATATTACCAGTTTTAAACAAAAATTTAAGTAAATTGGATTATAGAAGTTGTCCGATTTTAGAGCATGCTTTATGGTCTCAAGCAATGCTCACAAATATAACTATAAATACTTATAGATTACCTTTTACCAAACTCTACTTCAAATTACTATGTAGGTGGATCCTATTTAGTTGGATCACCCTTGTTGACCTCGATTTGGCCATTTTATCAATAATACTAATACCAAGTAGAGTTAGTATGAGTGGTAGGAGCTCTCATCTAGAGTTAATTATAGATATAGTAATTTAGTTAGGAGAAATCTACCATTTGAAGCTTATTTGTACTTAAAAATAATGATGATGATTATTGATGATGATGACAATAAATAACCCCCATTGTTGAAATTTTGTGTATTTAGTTGTTGCCCTGTCTTTTCACAATTTATTGACATATTAGAAGAGACAAAGGATTTATGAATGGGCCTTCTTATATTTATTTTTTTTGGTCATCTTTATAATGTTTGTTAATGAAACTACATAGTCCCCCCCCCCCAAAAAAAAAAACCAGGGACAATTAGGTAATTCCAACGATCCATTTGTGTGGAGCAAGAAAATGCAAAATAAGCTGTGACAGTGATTTGGCATCACGTCTTCGCGGAGAGAACATCTCTTGCCAACATCCTTCATACGCACATGGGACATGGCTTTCATTACAAACACAGTGCATGACAATAGATTCATCAATAAATTTTTGGCAGAGATGAAATTAAACTAGTCCTTTCTTGCTTGACCCTGTCAAAAGAAAATTAACGTGTAAAAGAAGAATTATAGATATATAGATATATTATTTTTTCATTTGTCCTTATATAAAAAAATACTGAGGTTCTATAATTGATAAAATTTCTTAGAGATTTTCCATCTCATTGATGTAGCTCTAGAAAAGTGATTTCCTCTTAACTTTCTATACTAACGTTTTAAATCAAGTCAACTTGAATATCTTTGGCGTAGGGAAAGGGCCACAATAATTCCAGTCTTACTAGAAAATACCTATGTAGTTTCTTATTCGTTTTATTCTTTATGTTCTCTCTCTTGATTTTTTATTCCTTTTTTCTTCCGTTTTTTTAGAAAATTTGTAGAATGAGAAATATTGGTGAATTTCATAATAGAATTTCCCAAAAAATAAGGTATAAAATCAATTGAATATCTATAAAATATATTAATTACAATCTCAAATTCATAACCATTTCGATCTCCATTTGTATATGTAAATAATAAAGGATTTTAAAAATATTACATTTTTTCCGACAAAGATATTTGAGCATAAATCTTTTTGGTGGGACCTGCGTGCGAATAAATCTCATGCTTAGTATGCTTATTTCTTAGAGAAATCTCATTTATGTATTGTTGTACATATATGTAACAGAATTACGTGGTAAGATTAGATATACACTTTTATGATTTTGAGATCTCTGTGATGAAGCCATTATCTCATTTTTCCGGCTCTTTGTAATGGTTAATCGTTGATTGATCATAGTGGCCATTGTTTGTAAGGGATTCTCATAATTGATTGACCAATTAAACTGTATATTAAATCATCTATGACTTTTCATAATCAAAAGGGCACCACGAATTTATTTTAACCATGTTTAGTTTTGATCACTTGTTTTAATGTGTAAAATGTATTGTCTCCCTTCTGTTTGACTCCCTTTATTTCTTATTACCTAGAACTCCCTTTATTTCATGAATGGGTCCTATCTTAATGTCTCACTTTTAATTGTATCCTCTATTAAAAAAACGTGACATTTAATTCTTGACAAGAATTTGAATAGTCCACTTCTTTTCCCACCACAAATATGAATACTTTTGTTAGGTTCACAATTTTCCGCTTTTATTATTATATATTGAAGACCAGTTCTTATATACAGCCTGAGCCTTTAAGCAATCCAACATGGCGAACCTTTGGTTTCATTTTTCCTCTTCCATGTTCTCAATGCTTTGCTATCTCATAGTTTGCCCAACGTTATGTCATGCCAATTTCACCAGAAATGATGAATTGGCACTTCTTGCTTTCAAAATTTATGTGAGAGACCCATTTAATCACTTGGCTAATTGGTCCAACTCTTCCTCCATTTGCAATTGGGTTGGGGCTGCTTGTGATGCTAATGGTGAGAGAGTAAGTGTATTGAATCTTGCTGCCATGAGTCTCATGGGCACCTTACCCTCACAAGTGGGGAATTTGTCCTCCCTTGTTGAACTTGACCTTCATAGTAACAACTTTCATGGTAATTTACCGAAGGAGTTGCTGCAGTTATACAAGTTGAAAATTCTCAACCTTAGCTATAATGAATTTGATGGGAAAATTCCAACTTGGGTTGGAAGTTTATTTGCTCTTCAATACCTGATCTTTCCAAGTAATAGTTTTCGGGGTGTTATTCCTCCAAGTGTATCAAATTTTTCAAAATTAGTGACCTTGGATTGGAATAACAATTTCATCCATGGATCTATTCCACTTGAGATTGGAAGGCTTCAACATTTAAAGATTTTACATATAGCAATGAACAATCTTTCAGGAAATATACCTCCAACTATTTCTGACTTATCCTCACTTGAGCTGATGTCTTTGTCATTCAACTCCTTAAAAGGTATGCCTTTCATAATATCAGATAAATTTATATTTTCTCCAAGTCATTTCAAACAATTTTGTGTTGGTGTTAGCGCATCTTACGATAAGCTATTAATTACAATCTCTCGTTCAACCTTCATTTGCCCAATTCTGTTCATTCTCAATCACAATCAAGTTTGTTGATTATAGCAAATAGATAATAGGGGTGAAGGGAAGCTCCACTAAAGAATTATGATAATGTTTGGATTGATGGATTTGAATTTAATTTTAGATTTAAAATCTTTCATTTCAAATCTCACATTTAAAATTCAAATACTTAAAATCCTTGGTTTGGCGAGTTTAAAAAAAATCAAATGAGAGACAAGAATGAGAGATTAAAAAAAAAAAACGAGAGTCATAGAGACATAAATAGTGAAAACATGAAAAGAATAATGTTTGAAGTGGTTAGTATTTCAAATGATTAGGATGTAGGAGGAATTTGAAATTATAAAGAAAATATAATGAGAAATAGATTTGGATCCATAAATTTTTATATACCTAAATGAAGAATTTGATCCGAATCTGAATCCTTGTTAATCCAAGCACAACATAAAATAAGAGTTCTATAAAAAGCCAGCGGAAACGGACAAACGTGTACTGACTGTAAATTTTTAAGTGAATTCTGTGTTTTTTCTTATTGGCTATAAACATCATTACGATTTTAACTGAGATGCATAAAAAGGTGTAAGGCAGAGAATTACCATCTTCTGATTGGAGGGGGATTGATGTTTAAGAGGAACATGCTTTCGATCTTAAAATTAAATATTTTTGTAGGTTTATAGGCTGTATAAATTGATTAGCATGTGGCAGTAAATCAAACATGATCGCAAGGACATATATTAATTAAAAATTGAATATTCATTATGGGCTTCCAAGGTTGTTTGTGCTGTTCCTTGAGTTAAAATTTACTATCTATCCCCTAATAGTCCTTGTCAGTCTAACTATATCCGATTGACAACTCTTCGCACACATGGATACGGTGGAAAAAAACATTTTCAAAAGTAACTACATTTTCATGCTATCTTCATTTTAGCCAGCACAGCAGAATCAAAGATGGGCGGGAGATCTTTTTAATATATAAATATACATACATCAACTGTGGTATTTGAATTTTTATTTTTAATTTTTATTATCAATATTTTAAAAAAGTTATTTTATGATTTGAGAGAAATGTTGTTAGATAACTAATGATGCTTAATAATATAAAATTTAAAAATGCAATATAAAAAATTTAATATGTTAACTTTACAAAAGTATTTCAATATGAAAAACTATCTAAAGAGCTCAACCATATATTGAACATGATTGCCTTCAATAGGAAGATATGCATGAGTCATTAAAAAAACTATATGAAGAATATAAAAACAATTAGCATTTTAATAATTTAAGAACGGTAAAGGTAAAAACTCAACAAAGTTAATATTTTATTCATATTTTTGTATAATATTTTATACAGATATATGATGCACTATTTTCACCCGTTTTTTACATTATAGTTATTGTTAGCAATTATAAATTTGTTCATATATGTTTTGTGAGTTTTGATATATATATATATATATATTGTTAAAAACTTTTCATATTATTTATGATTTATTTTTAGAGTAAAATACATTCAGCTGCACGGCTTTGGCTTTTTGGTTAGCGTACTGTATTCTGTATATCTAACCAAAAAGTTGGAGGTTTGTACTGGCATCAAAGAGAGGAATAAAATATATTTTATTTATCTTTACTTTTCATAATATTAATGAAGCCAACCCATACTTTTCAAAATATACACTTTAGTTTCATTTTTTTTTAACTTCGTTGAAAGTAATTTATCCAAGATTCACAATTTAAACTTACTAGTGTACCCTTCATCAAAACCATTAATTCCATTCCTAACCATATCACTCTCCCTTGCCTTTGCACAAAACAACGCATGCAAAACACGACATAATGATGCACTTTGTTTATTTTATCCAATCATTTATTCACCATAATCAATAACTACAATTCCAGCATGAAAAAAGTACAAAATTTATCTATTTATGCTAGTGAAATATTTGGTCCATTAATATTTGGTTGAAGATTAATTCAAAAGAGCTCAAATTAGCGGTACACATAAAAGAATTTGTTTGGTTTAAGAGCTTTATCATTTTCCTATTTTTTAAATACAAAGTCAGATGTGATAATATTTTGATCAAAATAACCTTAAAAGAATACATTCATACAATTTTTATTGTTACTTTTTTTTTCTTTTTATTATAATCATTTTGTACATGTGAACTCGTAATAATGTAGCTCTTGCTTAGCCGTTTCCATGGGCATGGCTTGATTGATAACTTGATTTTTCATTTGTCATTATGAAGTCCACAAATCCTTTTATTTGTTCATAGGAGTTTTGCACTTCTATCAAAAGAATAAAGAAATCCAATCATAGATGGCCATATATATTCAGTGTGTTTGTTCCTCTTTTACACTTTATTTGTGATTTTTTTATTTTTATAGAATTTGAAGTGGTAAAATAATAATACATTAGGCCTCTAAAATACTTTTTCCTTAGGCAGTAAAACACCATTAGATGTCCCTGTCTTTGAATGTTTGGTTTCAAAGGTTGTAGAGGACTAAACCAAGAGCCAGTTCCTAATACAATAGGTGGGATTGGATGGCCCAATCTGCTTAGAAAACCATGACTTTTCTTGTGGTTATGTCATCATTGGTTGCTATTGTTATCAAATATGTCAAAATTAGAGATCTTGGCTTGGAATTTTAATTCTGTCCATGGATCTATTCCACTTGAGATTGGAAGGCTTCAATGTTTAAAGATTTTATATTTAGCAAGCAATGATATTTTAGGAAAAATACCTCCAGCTATTTCTAGCTTATCCTCACTTGAATTGATGTCATACAACTCCTTAATAGGCATGTCTTTAATAATATCAAATAAATTGATATATTTTCTCTAAATCATTTGAAAAAATTTAATGTGTTAGAATGTCTTAGAATAAGCTATTTCAATATTTTATTCAACATTGATTTTGTTGGAGAGGGGAATGGGATATATATATATATATATATTGATTATGTTGATTAGGGGCAATAAATGAATCTATAAATTATATATAATTTTAATTTTTTGTGGTATTGGCAACTCTATCGTTATGCTCTCAACACAACATAGTGTATTAACATCATTTAGTATTCTCTGCACTGCCAGCAACAAATATTTTGCATGCTTTTACTGTTTTTGTCCTTTTCATTTGGGTTCTTGGAGCTATAATGCAAGAGATACTTTTTTAATGGCTTTTAAATTTATATGATTTTTTATACAACATATGTTGTCTATCATCATCTCCATAAAGTTATATTGTATTTCTATGATTTTCTATAATATATACACAAGCACTCATATCAGTGTTTTTATTTGTTATTGCGATAATGCAGGAGACATTCCAAATGAAATTGCCAATCTTATAAATCTTAAAATTATGTACTTGGATCGTAATCAACTTGTTGGCTACATACCTAGAAGCATTGGAAGTTTGGTTTCCCTTCAGCAGTTAGAGCTTGGTTCCAATAATTTGCAAGGTATAATTTTTATGCAAATTTATAATTTACCATAGATGATTTCTTTTTTCTTACTTCTGGTCTCTTGCAACTTGAAATTATGAACTTAGATGCTAATAGGTTTCGTCAAAATGCTATTAATTATATATCCCAAAATGTATAAGTCGAGAAGAAACTTTCTTTTTCTCACAAAACAAAAGATTGGATTATATTTTCATACATAATTTGTAATATTTTATAATGTCATTGAGAACTAAACCTGTTACAAAGATTTTAAATATAATAGGGGATAATTTCAGTTAGGTCTCTTGTATGGAAACTTCCATTAAATTTCAAAGGACTCCCCCCCCCAACTGCTGATATATTCAAATTATATACATAGTGCATATACATACTAAAGACAAGACTATGCTACACTTTTTATATTCAATTTTTCTATACTTTAATTTCTTAAAAACTTAATTTTAATTAACTATATATTCAAAAGTGTATGTCTTTAAATGTTCATCTTCTTTCACATACCAAGATGCATTGGAAATTTGACTATGCTTCAATAGTTATATCTTAATTAGTGCCAATAAATTATGATGTGCTAACTTCTGTGTACGCACGCATTACTTTTTATATGCTTTTTTATGCCATTGCTTTGAGTAACAATGATTTGTTTAAAAAAAATACTTCAAAAATGTTCATCATAAATTTTTATTTAAATAAAAAATTATTGTTAAAAATTTGCAGATCAATTCAACAACTTTAAAAAAAATACTAGAATATAATTTTTGTTTGAATGAATTACATAAGATTTAGAGGTAAAGAGTTTTATGTATTCCTTAAAACAGAAAAAAGAAACAATACCCAAATTTTGAAAACTTTACTCTTTTTTTTTTACTTTCTGCTAGCATCACCTCAACTACAAATAAAAATGGCACACCTATATGTATCACCAAAACTAACAGTGGATTCAGATGTAATGTTTTCACACATCAACGCGCATAAAAATTTTCTAATAACAATAATGAGTTGCTTTCGACAACTCATTATAAGTTACCGTAATATTTTTTAAATGGTTTTCTTTGCATAATTAGAAAAAACTACAATACTTTTCTTATATCTTGTTCTATTCATTTGGGAATTTTGAACCATAATGTCAATAAATAATCTTAAAGAAATTAGTCATAGTTCAGATTTCAAAATTATGAGCTCTTAGACGGTAAGCCCTCTGATCACGAATACAACCAACAAATTTGAATATGCTCCAAGAGTTAGATCTCAGTGTAAATAATTTACAACGTACACCTTTAGCAAAACATAGTATAATATTTTTAGTTTATTCATTGAATAATATCGAAATTCCTTTCATCTAAAATTGAATGTAATTTCACCAAAAAAAAAAGAATATGTAATAGACTTCTAAATTTACAAATGCTATATCTTCAAAAGAATAATTAATTATCTAGAGCTCTGCCATATAATTGGATGCAATGCAAAGAGCTGAAAAGCTTACAGTTAGAATACAGCTAATTCTTTATAAGGTGTGTGCTACTAGAGAAGTTATTGGTTCAACATAAAGCATTTGTTTCACAAACATTTCGTGAAACTCAACCTTTTGTTTTGAGTAATTAAATTTATACCCATTTTTCTACTAAAATGATTTTTTTAAAAGGTCATCTTGTAATATTGTTTTCTTAATTGTTGTCATGCCCAAGTATTGTATGCCTGAAAGTTAAATTCTCTGATGCTAATATCTACACAAGCACTATAATTGCAAATGCAAATTTCCAATTAGATTATGTAACCACTCCTTGCCGCCACTACACAAATATAATATGTGTTCCTTGATGTGCACAGTTTTGAGTTCCTTATTTTTTTTTAATTGGTCAATATAACTGATACTTCATAGAATGTTGGCAATCTTAGATGATTCCCAGCCTTTAATTTCTTAACTAATATAGACCACATATATGGAAGCATGCATTTTTCTTTGCCACCACATTTTTTTGTTTACGTACTTAATAGCTTAAAGTTACCTCTGCATCAGCACATAAAATATACGAATCAGGAAGGAAAGCTTTCCAAGACCAGTCCCAAAAACCAGCATATTTGACCTTGCAAATGGGTTCCAAAAAATCACAAAACTTTTAGACATCAAACCAAACATCGAGAGTAATATACATACAAAAATTCAACTCAGGATCCCCTAAGTACAAATAGAGAAAAATCAACAAAATGAGCTGTTAGGAAGACAGAATGCTTCGCAAACAGCTCTCAAAAGTCAGAATACTTAACTAGGCAAATAAGAAATAAAAAAAATCCTCAAAGTTGTCTACCAAACAAGATCTTACTAGAACAAAAGTTGTCATTAATGAAACAAGTATCATGAATTTAGATTCCCTTTCTGTACATTACAGACCCCAAGTTGCAGCAAAGACGAACACTAAGATAGCAATCACAATAACAAAAAATTGTTCAACATTATATATATGACACTCGATGGATTGGTAAACAACATGCACAAGGAGCAATAAGCCATATAAACATGTAATTCTCAACATATGAAGTAACGATCACACATGAATTTATCACACCAAAAGTATAACAAATCAATTTTGACCACCAAGAAATCAAGAGGAGTTTGATAAAAAATAGGAACAAATTAACCTGTAAGGAGTCAAGATTGAAGACTTGCTCGGTCAGCACCTTCTCTGTTTCTTCAGCACCTATCTTTGATATTTCCTCGTCTTGCAAAATTTCCCATCTAATCGGCAAAGTAAAGCGCAAAGTTGCTTTATGAGGCTTACGTGGGAGATGGATTAATCAGAAGAGAATAGAGGACTAGCCATTTTGTCTATTCCAGGATGTTAATTTTTCTTTTTTGGTAAAATTTTATAGTTAATTTTTCTTTCAGGCCATATACTAGAAGGCATTGGAAAGTTGGCTATACTTCAAAATTTACATCTTGATCATGATAATTTACAAGATATTTTTTTTCAATTTATGATATGCTAGCTTCTATATTTTATTTTTTTAGTTTTTTTAAATATTATTACTATGAAAAATAAGCATTTTCTCTTCATATTTTTTCTTTTGTTTATAAATTTGTGTATGTGTGAAATTTTCTTCTTGTACAATTCTTTATGCATAAAAATAAGTATTTAGTTATTTTTAAATTTTAGGGATACTAGTTAGGATGTCATGTGGATCAGCATTTTGTTAGTTTGGAACAAAGAAAGCTCCAGTTGGAGTGAGGAAAAAAAGATTTGCCACCAAAATTTCTTCTCTAATATCATGAATAACAATGCCTTTCTCTGTCAAAATGCAGTTTATTAATATATTATATTAGAGTTGAAATGTACTTATTAAGTGACAATATTAACATCAATATTAAAATATGAAGTCTCTATCTCACTTGTTCCATTTAAATTGTAAACAGAATTAAAAAAGTAAAAAATATAGAACTTCAATACCTATAGTTTAACAAAATTTAACTTTTAATATGACATTAAATGTAAGTTAATGAACAATATGTACTTTATTGTTCATTTTTCACAATTTTTTGGTTTGAAGTTTATGTATTCTTGAAATTTCTTATTTCATAATTATTTATATGCATAAAAATAAGTCTTTAGTTACTTTCTATTGTAGTGCTGTATAGATTGATTAGTGTAGCCATGTGGTATATATCGGGCTTTATCTGAACAAAACATATGATGTATATAAATTAATCAACCATTTGTTAAGGGCTTTTGAGGGGGTTTTTTTTTGTGCCATGAGATAAATTATTTACTATCCATCTCTCTATAGTCGTTATAATTCTGAATAATCTTAGAATTTGTATTACCCTACAAGTGTAATCAATCCATCCAACCAACAACTTTTCAACCGCAAGAATTTATGAATGTCATGAAAAAAATATTTTTAAAAGATAACTATATTTTTAGGTTCTCTTCATTTGAATTAGGGATGAAGTTAGAATTAATCAAAGGTGGGTGGGAGATTGCTTAATTACACACACTCACACAAACTGTTGTATTTATAAAATATTTTTTAGTTTTTAAACTTTTTATGAAAATAATTTTCGTGGTGACAAATTGTGGCCATAAAAAGTAATTATATAAATTATTTTTAATTTTTTAATTATTAAAAATACTTTTGGCAATGATTGTTTGTCGCCACTAAAAATAATAACATAACTTATTTCTTATTTTTTAATTATTTTTTATGAAAATAATTTTGGTGGTGAGGGTTTGTCACCACTAAAAATAATTAGATAAATTATTTTTAATTTTTTAATTATTTGTTTATAAAAATACTTAATGTTGCCGCTAAAAAATAATTACATAAAATTTTTAATTATTTTTTTATGAAAAAACTTTTGATGGCAACAAAGTGTCGCCGCTCAAAGCCATTACATAATTTTTTAATTTTTAATTATTTTTTATGAAAATGCTTTTGGTGGTGATAATTTGTCGCCACTAAAAAGTAATCACATAAATTATTTTTTATTTTTTATTATTTTTTATAAAAATACTTTTGGTGGCAATGATGTTGCCACTAAAACTAATTACAAAAATTATTTTTAATTTTTTATTATTTTTTAGAAAAATAGTTTTGGCAGTGAAGATTTGTCACTGCTAAAGTAATTACATAAATTATTTTAAATTTTTAAATTATTTTTCTATGAAAGTAATTTTGGCAGCGACAGTTTGTCATCGCTAAAAATGATTTTTATCGGCAACAATTAAATATCGCTGCTAAAAAGGGGTCTTCGATAGCAACAAATAAATGTTGCTACTAAAAATTAACTTTTGGTGTCAACTTCAAAGGTCTACTTTTAGCAGTGACTTCTAATTATTACTGTCAAAAGTAAAAGTCACTGCCAGAAGTAGACCTTTGGCGACAATTTTTTTATCGTTGGTAAAAATTGCTGTCAAAAGCCACTTTTTTGTAGTAAGACAATCTTAAAAAAATGTCATAGTGCAAATGCAGTTTGAAAATATATATATATATATATATATATAACTAGATACTAGATTACTAATCTGTAGAATATTCTACTTTCTATATTTAAATCCTATAAAATAGGTGTGACTTATCCAGGTTTCGTATAATTTTTATATTTTTATATTTTATATGTTTTACTGGGATTTTTATAATCCGAAAATATGTAGAAGATATTGCTTCACAACCCTTAATACACTTTTTATTCTTTAATATTTCTATATGCGCTATCCGTGTTGTTAAAAAATGTAATTATTAACGTTTGAGAGGTTGGGTGTACATTTTACATTTTAATTTTCTGATCTGTAATTATTCTGTTTTTCTCCAAAAGTGCTCATAATAAATAAATTATTCTATAATGCACACACATAAAATATACTATTGAGCGACTTACTTTTGATACATATTTAGCTATTGGATTGGGACCGAGACATAAGCCCAAGGAGGATTATTTCACAAAAAAATTATTTTTCTGTTCTAGAATCATTCCTGTATTTAAAAAGGATAATATTGAAATTTTTTTATTTTTAACAAAGTAACAATGAAACAGTGTTTTCTTAAAATATATGAAAATGCTGGAAATATCTTTAAGATTCGGTGGGATTATGTTTTATATTATTACAATAAAGGCTATCACTATAAATTTAGTGGTTTGAGTGAATATTTTTCATATTATTTTAACTACTGGTAGTTAAAACATACATGTTACAAGTATCTTTTCACTCCAGATAGCCAGCCTTACGGGGGGAAATCTAAGAAAGATCATTTCGATAATGATAATGTGGAATGCATTATGAATATAAGTTTACGAGAAGTGAAAATTTTCATTTTATTATAATTCCACATTTGTATAGCAATGTGTGATTTTTCAACAGAATTAGACAGTTTGTGCTTTAACTCATGCATTTTCATTTTATTATAAATCCACATTTGTATAGCAATCTGTGATTTTTCAATAGAATTAGACAGTTTGTGCTTTAACTCATGCATATGTCCCTTATGACTATAAATGTCCATCTTCTTTCAGGCTATATACCAAAAGGCATTGGGAACTTGACTAAGCTTCAATTATTAAATCTTGATTACAATAACTTGGAAGGTATGATGTATCCAACAAATCATAGCATTGTCATGTTTGTTTTATTTGCATCTAAATTACAAGAAATATTCCCAATAAAATTGGTAATCTTATAAGCATATACTTTGTAGATATGTTTTAATAATTTACTAAATTATATATAATTGCTATAAACAAATTTTCAAGTTCAGATGAAACATAGTCTTTGATATAAAATTTGAATGAGGAAAAGAGAAGTTTATTCAGGTTCTATATCATCATATATACAAATATACATGGGCCGAGACTGGAAACAAGGGCCGGTCTACAAGTTAGATTTGGTAAAAATGATTCATCATATATGGACACTTGTAGGATTAAGCCTTTTTTCTTGTGTCGTTATCACGGACCTGGGAAATATTCTCTATAGATATATCTGTGACCAATTTGAATTCAATATCTTTAAGTGTTAAATTTTTTTGTAGGTGATATACCAGAAGGTATTGGAAAATTAGATAAGCTTCAAGAGCTATATCTTAATCATAATATTTTACAAGGTAATTTTTTTCATAAAATTATGATATTCTGGCTACTATAGTTCCCCCCACCACTTTTTGGTTGTTTTCTCAGTATTACTATGATGAACAACAATGCATTTTCTTTTCCTACTTTTATTTTTGTTTATAGATTTGTGTGGGAGTGAAATTTTCTTTTCTAACAATTCTTTAAACATAGCCAAATTTAAAAGTTTTTGTCTCTCTTTTAACTTTCTCACTACTATGTGCGTCTACCAAAACTCTTTAATAGTTATTAATGCATGATATATATATATATATAGAGAGAGAGAGAGTATAATCAAATAAATTTGTTTTAGATAATCACAAGCTTCTAAAAGTCTTAGGTAATATACTTTATGGATTTTGCTTCTAAAGGTTGTAGCGATGTCATAAAGTTGACATTTATAAATGAATATATATATATATTATGACTAAGAAAGCTTATATCATAAATTTGTCACAGCATATTCATTTGTTAAATGTTAGAGGATATATAACAGTAATTTGAACATGTTACTTTAGAGCCCTTAGCTGCACATTTAGTGGTCCTTAAACATGTTCATTTAAAAAAAAAAAGGAGAATTAATCAGTTGCTCCTTGAATCATTCTTAAGGATTTTATTCTTGGCCATGGATCACCCATGTGTCACATGTTATTATTGATGAATGTGGATTAAACATCAATGCAATATTAAAAGGCTGTAAAATAAATTTATATATTGGCCAACAAAAGATATTATAAATGCGTGTACCCATTTTCTTAAATGATTTTTCCCTGCATCATTTTTAATAAATAACTTGCCCTTTTCTTTTCATTTTCATGTATTCTTTTACCATATTATTTGAAATATTCGTAAAGAAATTGTGGCATGGAAATTTAAAAATTATGATCTTAGATACTAAAAATCATGATAATATTATATAAGTTGTCTTGGAGTAAGAGTCCATGCTATGATCTCACCCCAAAAACAGTTTTATTTTAGTTTAGCAAACTACTAGCTCTTATAGTCACACAATATATATATATATATATAAACTATGGGGACTTACTTTGGATACTAGATGTTTAGGTCATGGTGTGATCTATTGGACAAGGGTGAAGATGTAAGCCCAATAAGGATTATTTCTCAAAAAAATATTTCTTTGTCTTAAAATAATTCAATTAAAAATGATCAAAATAGAATCTTCCTTTACTATTTTTGCCATCGTCCTTTGACTTCTCTTTCTCAATATGTCCGGTCCTTGTCAAGCAACTCCATTTTGGTTTTTCACATCATAACGCCTTTTTTTTTTTAATATTTCATAGATTCTCTTTCTTTCAATGCTTGTTTGGAGAACCAATTTTTAGTTCATGTTCATTTAATGTAGGACACTTTGTATAATTTTGTTCGTATTTGTTTTCAAAGAGTACTCTCCCCCACCCTCTTCTCACACAGAAAAATATGTTTTCCCTCTGGAAAGTTAGTTTTAAAAAATGAAATAAAGAATACTATGTAATACCGTCGAATGTCTAAAATTTATTACTAAGTTCAAGATCTTACTATAAAGTACTATTCTATGAATTATGTAGGAAGTAGCAGTTAAATGTTTTATCTATTTGAAAAAAAAATAAAGCGAAATTTACTACCCATATTTCAAGGCTTCATTCTCTTTTTTATCACTTCTCACTTGAAATACAAACAAAGATTATTCAACGCCACCAAAATAGCATTAGAGAATTTTGATACATTTTGTTATGCTTTGAATCTCATTTACAATATGTTTTCTTGTGTAAGGTATGCTTTCATCAAATAATAACTGCTCTTGGCCAAAAGAACCGATAACAAATGCTCTTCATTTTTCCTTTGATACAATATTTTATGCAAAAGCAATCATAAATTTTTTTTTGTTAGTACATTTTGTTTTGTTGCCATATTGCAAGATGCATTATATTCCTAAAAAAAAATTGGTGATGTCACAAGGCACTGTTTGTTTTTAGATTTCTTAATTTTACTAAGCTTTTTGGTTATATTAAAAGGCTTAGAAAATAACATAGTATAAATGAAGTTTAACACCATAATTTATTTTAAATCGCCACTGCACCATTTTTTTGTCTTTTGGTACACAATATTAAAAAATTATCATAGTGTAAATGCAGTTTGAAAAAATTAATATAACTATATACTAGATTACAAATCTATAAAATAGGTATGAATCATCCAAGTTGTGTATAATTTTTATATATTTTTTAAAAGTTTATATGTTTTACTTGGATTTTTATATAATCTGAAAATATATCGAAAATATTGCTCCACAAGCCTTTTATACACTTTTTCATTCTTTAATATTTCTCTATATATGTTATTCAGCATCCTAAACATTTTTTTTAATCCTTCAACATTTTCTTGTATCTTTTAGTAATGTTCAGCACAAAACAAGCACAAGTTTTTCTGTTTTTGAAAAATAGTTATCTACATTCTCCAACAGATATTTTTTGTTTGTTTTTTATGTATTGTCAATATAATTATAATTTATCTTTCCAATATGATATGCATCATGTGAAGTAAAATAAAATAATTGTGAAGAACTTTTGTGGACCATCACCGTTCAATCTTAAATATTTTTGAATATATGTAAAGCTCAATAAAATATATATTGAAAGATTAAAGACTATATACATAACCCAAAAAGCTGTCCTTTTCTTTTTTGTCAAATCATTACGCGTTGAAATAAATAAGTATGATATTAAAAAAATTGGTTTAGTATTCAACTTGTATGTTATATGGAAAAAATATCTATTTTTTATGATCTATTTAGTTTTTTTTTTTTCTGGCTGTATGTGGCTTGTGGTATTATATTAAGAGTGTATAACGTTGAATGCACATAGAACCAGAGAAGGAAAAAAGAAAAAAAAAGAAAAAAAAAGAAATTGCGTGCAATGGGTATTGGCATTGTAGGAGGGGATCTACTTCCACGTGTCATGGGTTAGATTTTTATTTTGAATATGTATACTGTGATCAACAAATTATAAGTATATGACTATTTTTTTTTTTCATTTTTACATTTTTTTGTGAATGATTACAAACGTCATATTTTTGTAAGAACATTCCATGAAATATTTATAGGAAGAGGAGGATTTTTGAAATTAAATAAAAATTTATAAACTTAAAAGATGATGGCTAGCTGACCACAGGCCTTATAATATATAACAGATAATTTTTCCAAAAAAATCATAATATATAGTGGATATATGTACGACAAGACTATGCTCCATCTTTTATAGTCAACTTTCCTGTACTTTAATTTCTTAAAAACTACATTTTAATTAATTAACTATATTCAAAACCATATGTCTTTAAGTGTTAACCTTCTTTCATATACCAAGAGTCATTGGAAACTTAAATAACGCTTATCTTGATGAGAATAAATTCCAGCTTCATCAAATTATGATGTGCTAACTATTCTATGTGCGTGTGCATTGCTTTTCATTTGCTTTTCTATGCATTACTATGGGTAACATTGCATTTAAACTAGATGTTCACGTGTCTATTACATGGAATCTAAGATTAATTAGTCATACCATCCAATGCTAAATGATGTGCCTTTATATAAATCAAAACTGACAGAGGATACAGATGCAATGTTTTCATACACCAATGCTAGTAACAATTTTCTAAAAACAATAACAAGTTGTTTCTGACAACTCATAATGCGTTACTGTCATATTTTTCAAATGGTTTTCTCCACATCATTAGAAACAACTACATTGCTTTTCTCATACTTTGTTTATTTCAAAAATACAACATTGGTCCCTATAATTTTAGCAAGCTCTGTTAATGAACCATGTACATTTTTTGAATTGTTCTAGGTCCCTATAGTTTTGCCAATCTACAATTTTAGTCATTCTATTTTTAAATATACAGAGAGGGATGATAACGTAGCACTAATGGTTTTAAATTATCTGTCATATACTCGTCAAATAGAGGATAAGTTTTATTCTGTTCATTTTTACAAATTTTGAACTTGTCTCATCATGTCTACTTTCGTTTCGTTCACTACATCGAGATACCCTATTTTTTTTCTTGATTTTAAAGCTATTGATTGAAAAATTTTTTTGTTAACGTTCATATTGAAGTTTATTTTGTCTTTGCGTAGTCAAGCATAGCTTCAATTTTTTCCAGTTGATATTCCATACTCTATATTTTTCCAGTTAACGTTCATCATTAGTGCCACATAGTCATCCTTCTATGCATATTTAAAAATAAATGGCTAACATTGTAGATTAGAAAAATTATAAGGACCTAGAGCAACAAAAACAAAGTACATGGATTAATATATAACAAAAGTTATGGGTGTTATGCTTTTCCTTGTTTCTTTCATCTAGCATTGTTGAACCATAACATCGATAAATATTCTTAAAGAAATTATCCAAAATTGAAATTTCAAAATTAAGAGCTCTCGACAGCATGCTCTCCCATCGCGAATACAACCAATAAATATATGTGTGCGCGCGTGCGTTCATGTTCTTGTGCAACATTCATTTACCCCATTTTATTTAATGTTTTTTCAAAAATAAAATAAAATAATGAACAACTTAATATTCTACATACATGTTTGTATCATTTTTTTAAAATGGTTTTCTTTGCATCCTCCGAAATAACTATATTTCTGAATTTTTTTCTTTATCATATCAAAGGAAATATTTATAATGAAATTTTGGTGATGTTAGAAAAATATAAAATATGAGCTCATATGCTAATAAGCTTTCATCAATTGTCTTTAATAAATAAGTGGGAGTTGCCAACTAAAGTTTGTCAACAACCACAAGGTCATAGAATTAAATACCGTTACCGATATGAGAACCTTGTTTGCAGCCATTTGTAAGTACCTCTGTAAACACTTTTTAAGCCTAGAGACATGCTTTAACTCTAGTGAACCCCCGAAATCCAATTCACCTAAACTTTCTTTAGACAAAAAAAAAATCTGGAAGTTGAATTTTTTTTTTTAAGGTAAAGGTACAAATTTGGCTACCAACTATTTTTTCAGGAGTACTAGATAGCCTATACTATCAAGTAGTGCAAAATAAAATCCTCAACTTTTAAAAATGGAGCATCCAATAGCCTACCATTAATTGCGCTCGATGGACATTATGTGGCTACAAATAACACATGGCACTCCACCTCAACATGTGTAAAGATGCAAATTTAGCTATGAATTATTTTTCAAAGAGCACTAGCTAGCTTCTATTGTAAAAAATGGACTATCCAACACCTTCTTATCAATTTTGACTATACACCATTTATTTTTAGACTTATGAGATTCACAACATGTCAATCTCTCCAATATTCTTGAAGCTTAATTATACTACACATGTGAGAAGCTTGATTCTAACTTAATTTGGCCATAAATTATTTCTTCTACTTTGTTGGTATCATCTTCGTGAATATCTTTAGATAATAACTCTTTAAACCCCTTCCTATCAAGCTAAGACTAAGAACAAATGCAAAAAGATTGGAGAGATTAATGCGTCGTAGGTTTTATAAGTATGAAAATAAATGATGTTTAGTCAAAATTGATGGAAAAGTGTTGGTGGCCTCTTTCTTTATAGTAGAGACTATCCAATGCTTTTTGAAAAATAGCTTGTGGCAAAATTTATTCCTTTACACATGCTAAGGTGGAGTACCATATGTCATTTGTGAGCCCTACATAATGTTCGTCAAGTGAAATTAACGGTGGACTATTGGGTGCTTCATTTTTTAAAGTTGAGAATTTATTTCACACCACTTAATAGTCTAGGCTATCCAGTGCTTATGGAAAAATAGTTGGTGGCTAAATTTGCACCTTTACCCTTTTTTTGTTAAATAACAATGACACTAACTTGTGAGGATGCATGGCCCCAAATGTATCTCATGGATTTTTAAAGTTTAGAAAAGAACGTTTTCTTTTAATTTCATTTCAATAAATTATTTCATCAGAAATTGATGTGACATCATTTGCCTTCAAATAGATTTTAGTGGATATAAATTGTATAAAAGCTGTCTTCATAAAACAAAACAATTGGATAAAAAAAATTCAAAAATTAAATATATAAGGTATATATTCCTATACAAAGTTACCCTCACTTTTATAGATGCCATTAACATTCAAATATTTAAAAAATTTATGAAATCAATAAACTTAAAAAATACTACAATAGAATTTTTGCTTGAATGAATTACATGCAATGTAGTGGTAATTTTTCTTTTTAACGCATTCATTAAAACAAGAAAAGAAATAATATGTAGCCAAATTTTAAAACCTTTTCCATTTTTTCAATTTCAGCCAAAAAAATAAAATACAAGAAAACAAAACAAAACACAACCGTTACTCTATATTGAAGTAGCAGGCGTGGCTAGAAGCTATGTTCTCACACGTACTACATTCAGTACAATTTTTTTAAAAAACTATGTTTTTTTCTATGAACTCTAAAAAAATAGAGAAAAACTATATTTTAATTCCATTTTATATATGTTTTGGGATTGGTATTATGAAACAAATTAAAAAAACTTAATGTTAATCAATGAAGCGAGCCTAAAATTCAGCTGGATCACATTATTGACCCAACATTGAGGTGAGTATCATATATTTGTCTAATTATTTAGATATTTATATTTTCTTTTTGCTTAATTTTAGTATTGAGTTAAACGAACTTTACCTAAATCTAAAACAGTAATTTTCTTTTCAGGTTCAATCCTCCAGAAATAGGCAATCTTTATAAGCTCAAGCAGCTTATGTTGGCCCATAACAAATTGAGGGGAGCTATTCCGCTGGAAATTCTTAACATGTCAACTTTGCAAGTGTTGGCACTCCAAAATAATTCTTTTTCAGGTAGCCTTCCATCAGATTTTGGTTGTGGCCTTCCCAATCTAAAAAAGCCATATTTATGGAGCAACAAACTTTCCGGAAGAATCCCAAATACTGTTTCCAATGCCTCTAAGCTGACCCTTTTAGAACTGTCAGGAAATAATTTCATAGGGGTTTTACCAACTACACTTGGGGATTTAAGATACTTGGAACGCCTTAAAATAAGTGATAACAATTTAACCACATCAGATGCTTCCAATTCTAAAACCAATATTATTACCTCATTGACTAATTGTAGACGTTTGAAAGTTCTGGTCCTCTTAGCAAATCCATTGTATATAAAACTTCCTAAGTCCATTGGAAACTTCTCTGATTCTCTGCAAACGGTGGACATTGTTTCTTGTGGTATTAATGGTAACATACCATTAGAAATAGGGAATCTTGCCAATTTGATTAGTCTTTCTTTGGATAAAAATGTTTTGAATGGACCAATTCCAACAACAATTGGCAGCTTACAGGCTCTTCAATTTTTGAGTCTTGAAGGAAATGACTTGCATGGCCTAATTGTTCCAGAACTTTGTGAAATCAAACCCCTTGGCTGTTTACATATAAGCCAAAAGAAATTTTATGGAGCAATGTCACCTTGTTTAGGAAATATTTCATCTTTAAGGGGACTTCACTTGGGCTCTAATAAATTGTCATTAGAGATACATTCTTCCTTTTGGAATTTGAAAGATATATTGCAAGTAAACTTGTCTTCAAATCATTTTGGTGGTTGTCTTTTATCGAGGGTTGAGAACTTAAAAGTTCTTATCTCATTAGATTTTATCTCGAAATCATATTTCAGGTATCATTCCATCAACTATTGGTGGCTTGCAAAATTTGCAGATTCCTTTTTTTTTATCACATAATGAATTGCAAGGATCTATTCCTAGATCACTTAGGAATTTGCTAAGCTTAAAAAATTTAGACTTTCCCAAAATAATTTGTCTGGGGAGATTCCTAAATCCTTGGAGTTTCTTATTGATCTTAAGTTTGTCAATCTATCTTATAACAAACTCCAAGGAGAGATTCCAAATGGAGAAGTTTTTAAAAATTTGAGTATTGAATCTTTTATGATGAATCAAGCTCTTTGTGGTCCGCCACAACCTCGAGTGCCTCCATGCAAAAAAGGAATAGGATAAGGATTGCTAATAAAATTGCTTTTATTGAAATTCTTATTACCCATAACTGTGTCAATAATTTTGGTTGTCTTAGGCATTATCCTTTTAAGACATAAACAACAAAATTCAAAGGGTCTAGTTGAAAGGGATTTATCTAATTTTGGAGTGCCAAGAAGGATTTCATACTTTGAAATCCTAGAAGCAACCAATGGATTTGATGAGACTAACATACTTGAAAGGGGTAGTTATGGCTCTGTGTTCAAAGGAAAGCTTTTCAATGGAATGATAATTGTAGTTAAGATCTTCCATTTTGATTCCTAGGTAATGTTTGAAAAAGAATGTGACATATTGCATAATGTGTGGCATTGCAATTTGGTGAAGGTTAAAAGTTGTTGTTCCAATGTTGATTTCAAATTTTTGGTAATGGAGTTCATGCTCAATGGGAGCCTTGAAAAATGGTTATATTCTCACAACTATTTTTTAGGTTTTCTTCAAAGGTTGAATATACTGATAAATGTAGCAATTGCTTTGGAATATCTCCATCATGGCTTGTTAGCACCAATTGTTCATTGCAATTTGAAGCCAAACATGTTTTATTGGATGATGAAATAGTTGCTGATGCGAGTGACTTTGGAATTTTCAAAATTTTAGATAAAGGGGAATCTAAGATATACACTCAGAGATAATACTTACTGTTGGCTATATTGCACTAGGTAACGATATATATCTTAGCATATGAATTCATAAAAAACTTATTACGCATATATTGTCACTCATTATTCAACTTAGCAATATTATATAAACTTAGTGCATGACAAATTAAATAATATTTATTTTAAATACTACATAACTTCTTAAAACATATTAACGTTATTGATTTGATTCAATTATTAAATATGTAGTTTAATTGATGAACTACAATTTATCAAAGTTATCTATGCCTAAAACATGGTGCCTTAATTCTTCTATAAGGAGAAATGTTCTTGGAAATTTCCTTTTAATTTTTTTCTGAGATAGGCTCTTGTATTCAAATAGAAGATGAAAGAGATATTTTATGAATTTTACGATCATTGAACTTACTTTAGTTTGATCTTTTTATATGTATATACAATTCTTAAACTAATTAATATTATAACATTTAGATGAATTTGTATTTTGAAATGTGTGTCTATGGTATGTGCACGCATGTATGCCTTGATGTTGGGGCTAGGTATATGTGTGTCTTTGTTTCTTTTACATAAAAATTCTTTTGCATATGATCATAAAATTTTCCTATCAATCTTTAGGGATAGTAAAAATTTACATTTTACAAATTCAAAGACTATAACTAGGCAGCACAACAAAAGTAGATATGTATAGCTATGGAATTATGCTATTAGAAGTGTTTACAAGAAAAAGGCCTATAGAAGATATATTTGTCCTAGGATTGAGCTCGAAGAGATGGGTAAGTGAGTCAATGCCACATGCAGTAATTCAAGTCATGGATTCAAATTATTGCAAGGAGATGAACATCATATAAATAATATGTTGACATCTACATCCTCTATCTTTGAATTAGCCTTCAATTGTTGTACTAATCTTCCAGAAGCACGCAGCAATATAATTGATGTTGTAGTATCATTGAACAAGATCAAGGCCAGGTTTATGCATAGGCAGCAGCATCATATTTAAATCAACTTTGACATTCATACAATTTGTGTGGTTAATTGTTCTCCATTTTTTTTATTGTCTACTTTCAGAATATGTTGGACTCATCATTTATTATATACATGCATTTATTTTCACTCAAGCATCAAAATATGTATTGTGGAGCATATAGGTGGATTCATGCTAAGTTAAAGAATATATTTAGCTCGCGAACAATGATACTTTATTAGTGAAATATAAAGATTCATTCCTCTAATGTATTTCTCAATTATGCTTGAATTTGTTCCTCAATTGCTGTTTTACGTGCTTTTGGTTCTTGGCTCTCTGGTATTCTACCTAATAATGATATAACAATGAGAATCATTATATAATTGCAAACTTAAACATGAAAGTCAAAAGATAAAACACTTGCATCCTCTTCCCTATCAATTCATCCTTATAGCAACCCATTTGGGATTTTGTTTGTGTCTGATGCTGAGCCAGCTTTTTTTGTTCATCACAGATAATCCTTTGTCTTTCTTACCAGGTAATAATTTGTGAAACAATATAATTGGCATGATATAAGGAAAAACACATGCATACACATTTATGACACCTAAGAAATCACATATTAGAGATCGAGGTGGAGTTTAATTAACAGGGATTAGATATGATGAATGTCTCCAAGTCAAAGTAAACTCAAATCATGTTCCCAAAGTTTTCTGTAATAAAATTTTAGCTAAAAGCCCAATGCCTGCCTCTCAACTAAGCTGTTCCTAGCACACAAAATATTTAATTGTAACATTAAAAATACATCCCTTAAGGCACATGGTTCTATCCAACTTTCTCATGATAAAAAGCAACCAGGGCCAAACAAACAGAAAAAAATAAAACAAAATTTATAATATTTTCATGTGAAGTTGAAACCCAGAATAGACGCCAGAGCACCATTATCATCCATCCTTGAGCATCAGCAAGATCAATTCTTGACATTGAGGCTCTTATGAAGTGATATAAGAGGAATAAATGAATTGATCCCTTTGCACCTTTCAAGCGCCCATTTTTGAAGAGAACACAAAATCAAAATCCAATTAGAAAAATAAAACGTAAGAAATTTATAGACAAATATGGCTGCGCGTGACACAGTCCAGATCAGCACTGGCAAGGAGGGCAAGCTGTCTCGATAATATATAAATATAGACACGTGAGAAGACAACCTCAGAAACATTGTCCACTGGAATGTGTACCTCCTTGCAATGATTGATTTATTAGGAAAAAAAATGTAATTCCCCTAGTAGTCTATATTATGTTTTTGTGACATGATTTTCCTATACCTTTTCCTTAACGAGCCTCTTCGCCTATATATTTTTTTTAATTTGTTGACAAATGCAAACTGTAGACTAGCTGGCTTCATTTGATTTTGTTCTATTTTTTTGTTTTTAAAAATTATTTTTAAAACAAAACAAAAAGAAAAATCTGGTTAATTATCTTAATTTGAAAACAATTTTAAATTTAAAAAATTGACATGTAGTGGTGGTCGTAATGGTTAATAATAGTGCCTTATATCTGATTAAAAAATAATGGTGACTTATAATAGTGGTCGGCCATAATCGAAAACAGTTTAAGCATAAGATGAAGTGTGCTTTAAAAATAAAAAAATAAAATAAAAACAACTCTAAGATGTTTTCACCTTTTGTTTTAAAAACAAAAAATGAAAATAGTTTTGAAAATATTTAAATCCAAAATACTTATCTGAACAATTTTTTCTTTATTTTTTGTTCTTGAAAATAAAAAATAATTTTTAAAAATAGAAATCAAGCAAGCACTAGGCTCGATTTTCATGCTAAAATTATTTACAATGTCAAATCATGCATAAAACTCATAAAATAATAAATTCACCATTTCATATTTACTTCTACATAGTTATAATAGTTAATAAACATAATAAATTATATAGTTACCTCAACCCTTCTGTTCAATAAAAAAGGTTACTCATGTCCCACAATCTTATTCAAGTTTCTCTCGCTATCCAACTCATAGTATTCAAGAATCTATACAAAATTGACAAACTAAAGTCAATCTTACCATTGACAAAAGTACCAATTACCACAATTAACCATCTAATTGCTACCACTTCCTCTTTTCATACTTGTTCACGCATATTATGGCTAATTATCATTCACTACCAACACTAACCTTTATCTAACCCAAATCCTCTCATTATTCTCTCTCTCTCTCTAATTTATGTAAATTGAGCCTACGGCTTCAAAACTTTATCGTTCCGATTCAAACTAGTCATAAAGTGCTAGTTTAATCCTAGAGGACCTTTCTATTACTATAGGGTAAGAAATCAGCTCCTTAAAATTTTTGAATTCAATTTCTCAATAGTTAAAACTAAGAGAAAATAGGATAGAATCAGAGGTTAAGGTAGTACTAGACTTATCTAATAAGTAACAGGTTAAAAATGTCATCCTTTTTCTCGAAATTGCTTGTCGTAGCAAAGCTTGGCTTTCCTCTCCACGTTTGACCTCTCTTCACTTGATCTCCCTTCTGTTTTCACACCTAGGACACATCCCACCTAAACAAGTTTTTGCACCATGCACTGTGTCACACCCATCCTCCACCGTAGCAGGTGGCACAGTGAGAAAAATCCTTACTATGCTCACACGCTTTACACCAAGACCTCATTCTTTCATTCATATCTGTTCATATAATATCCCAATGAGTCAATATAACATTCCATTATCCAAGGAATAATCTCACATTAAACCACTAATTCATTTCACATCAGTAATTAATGTAGGATTAGGAATTCGAATGTTACATAAGCCCAAAAAAAAGACTATAAATACATGCCACAAAGACCAAAAGGTCCAAATATTTGGATATAAGTTCCAAATATAGCTATAAAACTTGCAAAGGACCATGATCTTTGATCAACAATATATTTTTAGATAAAATGAAAAAAATGAAAGTCTTATTAATGATCTATACTTGCAAAGCCATTTAGGAATCTTCAATAATCTATACTTGGTATGAGTGTAGAAAATAGGAAAGG